GAGGGCAGGCATCAGGCCCTTCAGTACAACCCTAGAAAAAGGGCTCGGAGGGACCTGAAGGTCTACAAGTTCTGCTCGTCCGATGGTCCAGTGGCAGGGTATACGATGGCCTTCAATATCGACATGGGGCAAGACCGCGGCGAGTTTCCGGCGAGTATGAAGGCCGTCGACGACCTGATGGAGAAGGCAAAGCTGTACGACAAGGGGTATCAGTTGTACACAGACAACTGGTATTCCTCCCCGACTCTTTTCCACTACCTGCAGGAAAACCAGCGCCGTTGGTACGGTACGTACTAACAGGCGGGGTATGCCCTCGGACCTGCAGGACACATCAATTTACAGAGCAGTAATACCGGAATGCTTTGCCTGCAGTGGGTAGACAAGCGTCCTGTGACAATGCTATCCACTGCTCACACCTCAAAGGTCGTTACCCTGCCTCCCAACCGCTGAGGTTTGGAGAGGTCGAAGCCCGAATTTGTAGCCTGTTACAACAACGGGATGAAGGGCGTCGATCTCTCGGATCAGCTAGCGCAGTCATATCCAGCCACCAAGAAGACCATCAAGTGGTACAAAAAGGTGTTTTTCTACCTGCTGGATATGACAACCGTCAACGCGCTGGCTGTCCACCGGGCCCTCGGCAGGAGGCTTTCACAATTCAAGTTCCATACAGAACTTGTCCGGGAAATGCTGAAGCAAGGTAAGCATCAGACTTTTTGTTTCTTGTATTCTGATTTGAAATTTTAGAGTGATTTTCATTCTACATGTCCATTTTTGAGGATGTAATTTACAAGGTCCTTTTTTCTTGCATTTACAGGTGGCCGGCCTGGCTCCTTCCGGCGGAACCCTCCTCAGGACCAACCTGAGGAGGATCCCCAGCAGGCGCACATGCCAGTTGACACCCCCTTCCGAAGGTGGCGGAGATGTGCGTTCTGCTGGAGAAATGACCGATGCAGGAAGGAGACCAGTCATGTGCTCCAGCGGCAGCATTTCCCTATGCCCTACACCTTGCTTTCAGGCTCACCATGCCTGAAAAGTATGTTTAAATAGTGTACGACTGTGATTTTTACATATGTATGTATGTATAATTTATTTACATTTTGGAAAATGTACAGGTGTTCCATGCCTGATATGTGTATATAACGCTTTTACATATGTATATATGTATATTTATACAAATTTATACGTATGCAGAGCTGTTTTCCAACCCGTCAGTATTGGGATATTATAGTATACTCCATTGTAGAAGTATTTCCTCATGTGAGTAAAGTCAGTAGTTTGTCTTGCAAACAGGGCAACAGTAGTTGAACGAGGGAACGAGTAAAAGGGTAGTTCTACCTTACTGTGTAAAGCGCGGGAACAAGTGAAATGGCGCATTCGGATTGGCTGACGAAGGTAATAAATAGAGGTGCCTTACACTGACCAATTCAGTCTATTGCTGTGTGTACCCTGAAGATGCCCCGGAAAACGAGAGCAACCACTTGCTGCCGCCCCTCATCCTGGTGACTTTCTAGACGACCCTCCGCCTTCCACCTCGCCACGTACATCTCGCTTTTACGACTTGTCCTCGGACGATGAGGAAGGCGAGAGGTACGTGCCGAGGGGAAGGTGTAGTTTCGACAGCTCCAGTGACAGTGACGGCAACAGCGACAACGGCGATGATTCTGATCTAGATTACGTGTCCCAAGAGGACACTACTCTAGATTCAGATGAGCCGTTGTCGGCCTATTTGGAGCGACGGCGATCACGGTCACGGTCACGGTCACGGTCACGGTCACGGTCACGGTCACGGTCACGGTCACGGTCACGGTCACGGTCACGGTCACGGTCACGGTCACGGTCACGGTCACGGTCACGGTCACGGTCACGGTCACGGTCACGGTCACGGTCACGGTCACGGTCACGGTCACGGTCACGGTCACGGTCACGGTCACGGTCACGGTCACGGTCACGGTCACGGTCACGGTCACGGTCACGGTCACGGTCACGGTCACGGTCACGGTCACGGTCACGGTCACGGTCACGGTCACGGTCACGGTCACGGTCACGGTCACGGTCACGGTCACGGTCACGGTCACGGTCACGGTCACGGTCACGGTCACGGTCACGGTCACGGTCACGGTCACGGTCACGGTCACGGTCACGGTCACGGTCACGGTCACGGTCACGGTCACGGTCACGGTCACGGTCACGGTCACGGTCACGGTCACGGTCACGGTCACGGTCACGGTCACGGTCACGGTCACGGTCACGGTCACGGTCACGGTCACGGTCACGGTCACGGTCACGGTCACGGTCACGGTCACGGTCACGGTCACGGTCACGGTCACGGTCACGGTCACGGTCACGGTCACGGTCACGGTCACGGTCACGGTCACGGTCACGGTCACGGTCACGGTCACGGTCACGGTCACGGTCACGGTCACGGTCACGGTCACGGTCACGGTCACGGTCACGGTCACGGTCACGGTCACGGTCACGGTCACGGTCACGGTCACGGTCACGGTCACGGTCACGGTCACGGTCACGGTCACGGTCACGGTCACGGTCACGGTCACGGTCACGGTCACGGTCACGGTCACGGTCACGGTCACGGTCACGGTCACGGTCACGGTCACGGTCACGGTCACGGTCACGGTCACGGTCACGGTCACGGTCACGGTCACGGTCACGGTCACGGTCACGGTCACGGTCACGGTCACGGTCACGGTCACGGTCACGGTCACGGTCACGGTCACGGTCACGGTCACGGTCACGGTCACGGTCACGGTCACGGTCACGGTCACGGTCACGGTCACGGTCACGGTCACGGTCACGGTCACGGTCACGGTCACGGTCACGGTCACGGTCACGGTCACGGTCACGGTCACGGTCACGGTCACGGTCACGGTCACGGTCACGGTCACGGTCACGGTCACGGTCACGGTCACGGTCACGGTCACGGTCACGGTCACGGTCACGGTCACGGTCACGGTCACGGTCACGGTCACGGTCACGGTCACGGTCACGGTCACGGTCACGGTCACGGTCACGGTCACGGTCACGGTCACGGTCACGGTCACGGTCACGGTCACGGTCACGGTCACGGTCACGGTCACGGTCACGGTCACGGTCACGGTCACGGTCACGGTCACGGTCACGGTCACGGTCACGGTCACGGTCACGGTCACGGTCACGGTCACGGTCACGGTCACGGTCACGGTCACGGTCACGGTCACGGTCACGGTCACGGTCACGGTCACGGTCACGGTCACGGTCACGGTCACGGTCACGGTCACGGTCACGGTCACGGTCACGGTCACGGTCACGGTCACGGTCACGGTCACGGTCACGGTCACGGTCACGGTCACGGTCACGGTCACGGTCACGGTCACGGTCACGGTCACGGTCACGGTCACGGTCACGGTCACGGTCACGGTCACGGTCACGGTCACGGTCACGGTCACGGTCACGGTCACGGTCACGGTCACGGTCACGGTCACGGTCACGGTCACGGTCACGGTCACGGTCACGGTCACGGTCACGGTCACGGTCACGGTCACGGTCACGGTCACGGTCACGGTCACGGTCACGGTCACGGTCACGGTCACGGTCACGGTCACGGTCACGGTCACGGTCACGGTCACGGTCACGGTCACGGTCACGGTCACGGTCACGGTCACGGTCACGGTCACGGTCACGGTCACGGTCACGGTCACGGTCACGGTCACGGTCACGGTCACGGTCACGGTCACGGTCACGGTCACGGTCACGGTCACGGTCACGGTCACGGTCACGGTCACGGTCACGGTCACGGTCACGGTCACGGTCACGGTCACGGTCACGGTCACGGTCACGGTCACGGTCACGGTCACGGTCACGGTCACGGTCACGGTCACGGTCACGGTCACGGTCACGGTCACGGTCACGGTCACGGTCACGGTCACGGTCACGGTCACGGTCACGGTCACGGTCACGGTCACGGTCACGGTCACGGTCACGGTCACGGTCACGGTCACGGTCACGGTCACGGTCACGGTCACGGTCACGGTCACGGTCACGGTCACGGTCACGGTCACGGTCACGGTCACGGTCACGGTCACGGTCACGGTCACGGTCACGGTCACGGTCACGGTCACGGTCACGGTCACGGTCACGGTCACGGTCACGGTCACGGTCACGGTCACGGTCACGGTCACGGTCACGGTCACGGTCACGGTCACGGTCACGGTCACGGTCACGGTCACGGTCACGGTCACGGTCACGGTCACGGTCACGGTCACGGTCACGGTCACGGTCACGGTCACGGTCACGGTCACGGTCACGGTCACGGTCACGGTCACGGTCACGGTCACGGTCACGGTCACGGTCACGGTCACGGTCACGGTCACGGTCACGGTCACGGTCACGGTCACGGTCACGGTCACGGTCACGGTCACGGTCACGGTCACGGTCACGGTCACGGTCACGGTCACGGTCACGGTCACGGTCACGGTCACGGTCACGGTCACGGTCACGGTCACGGTCACGGTCACGGTCACGGTCACGGTCACGGTCACGGTCACGGTCACGGTCACGGTCACGGTCACGGTCACGGTCACGGTCACGGTCACGGTCACGGTCACGGTCACGGTCACGGTCACGGTCACGGTCACGGTCACGGTCACGGTCACGGTCACGGTCACGGTCACGGTCACGGTCACGGTCACGGTCACGGTCACGGTCACGGTCACGGTCACGGTCACGGTCACGGTCACGGTCACGGAGAAGACAGCTCCTGGGCAACCTGGGTTCCGATGGATGAAGGAGAATGTCCCCAGGAAGTTTGGTTTTGACGTCCATCCTTGGGTCAACATCCCCAAGCTGGACGCCAATTCCAGCCTGCTGGAGATATTCTCCCACTTCCTCACTGATGTGCTCATGGATGTGCTCGTCTGCGAGACAAACCGATAAGTTAACATAATTTTTTTCAGTTCCAAATACGCATTTCGCATCTTACTGGATATATATACGTTGGCCTTAAGATGGCCATGGGGCTGACCATTAAGCCTGAGCAGAAGGGTTACTGGTCGACCGAGGGATCGTTTCGATCAACTGAGCCGATTCCTCCATGTGGCGGACAAGAGGAGTCATCCCCCTGATGACCGCCTGTGGAAGTTGAGGCCAGCGATCAAAATTTTCCAGCAGCAGTTCTTGTCGTCTACACTCCTCCTCGGAGGATTACGGTCGATGAGAGTCTTTGGAAATTTCAGGGGCACTTTGCAGCCGTGACCTTCAACTCCAGCATGCGTGCGCACTTCGGGGTGAAGGTTTATAAGCTCGTGGTCAGTGAAGGCCCGAGCCATGGCTACATGTGCGCTTTCGAAATTTACATGGGCAAGGACAAAGGCGAAGTACCTGCATCCCAGAGGGCTGTCATCAACTTGATGGGCGCCTCTGGTTTACTTAATAAGGGGTATGAGTTGTATACCGACAACTGGTATACTTCCCCTATCTTATTTTATTATCTGCAGACTCGGGTCACGATTGGGGTTGGCACGGTTCATGTCAATCGAAAATTCATGCCCAAAGATCTGCAGGTAAGGGCCAGCAGAGATATGGACAGTCGGAGCACGTCGACAGGCATGTTGTGCCTTCAATGGCGCGACAAGCGTGTCGTAACGATGCTCTGGACTGTTCATAGAAGCGAGATGGTCGCCACCCTGTCCCAGAGAGGTATTGCCCGGAGCAAACCACAAGTAGTCTCAGACTACAACAATGGGATGAAGGGGGTCGATGTGAGTGATCAGCTGGCTCAATCATACCCGACCTATCGCAAGTCCTTCAAGTGTACAAGGCACTCGGAGGGCATATGACTCAGCTGATCTTCCGGAAGACACTTAGCAAGGAACTCTTGCAGCGAGGAGGCCATAGTCGAGAGCTCAGGTCATGGTCACGGTCACGGTCACGGTCACGGTCACGGTCACGGTCCCGCTCCCCGCCTCCGGCTCTTCAGGGTATACACTGCCAGATTCAGATGACTCACAGGCGATACCGCCACTGCAAACTGTGCTACAGTTGTGGCGTGAGGAAGATGACCAAGATGATGTGTTCAGGGAGTAATGTTTCTCTCTGTCGGGTTTCCTGCTTTGAGGAATATCACATCCTGAACGCATCTACGTCTAGGTGATCCTCCTCACGGCACGACTTTATATATATTGTAAATATAAAAAAAAATATACAAATATATGGGAAATGGTAAAAAAAAAAATCTTTACATATCCTCCTATACTACACTTTACTCCTTTACACACAAATATGAAATAAATATCAGAAAAGAGCAATCTTGACATAGCAGAAGGATCACTAATATAAATTTATGAATATAAAATTCTGAATATATAATACTACACTGGCCAGAAATATTATAGAGTATTCACGAAGTGATGATGTAAAATCACGTGAAAATACTGATATGTATTTTGGTAAAAAAAAAAAAAAAAAAAAATCACATATTTATAAAAACACAAACTATAATTATATCTATGTGGAAGTGGTAATATAAACCTATTGGAACTAAAGTTTCTTATAAAGTAACTTGAAAAAATGCACAAGAAAATACAACTAAACCTACGGTTTCAACTCCATGATACCACACACTGCTTATTTTATGCAGACTATAGAGCAAATAATGATCAACTATGGAGTCTATTATATAACAAAAATATCCTACAGTCTTGATTTATCAGAAAATATGGCAAATAGAGACCTTAGATAATAATAGTAATGAAAGTACAACATAGGTTCTTAGTATAACAAAGAAAAGGCAAGGGATGAGAGAGAGAGAGACGCGTAGAGAGCGGACGCACACTGCGATAGCTCCGTATTAACTTACTATTTTCTGCCGCCTAACACATCCTACCGTCTCTATATTTGCATAGCTGATGTATGAATGTATACATTATAGCTAAATAAGGTTTACACCTTATATTCTCTCACCTAACGCGAATTATATTGAAAAATATAATATTCGTGACTCACGCGCTCACGCTACTCACGCCCTGATTTGAAAACTGGGAGCGGCCGTTAGAGATTGCGCCTGATAAGAACCTGTCAAGCGCCCATCAACATCTTGACCATTGTCAACCCTTTTCCTCAGTCTCTATGCTTGTTTCTTTTTTCCTTCCCACCTCTTTTACTTTGGTATTGCCCCAACTCCTGGAGGATCTGCAGGGAGAACGCAACCCTGGGTGAACTGACACCGACCAGCCTCCCGCTGTATGACAGTACCCCCCCCCACCCGTCACTCGCCGCACGTCAACACCACATCCACACGGATATGACAACTATAAGCCGATGCTGTGCGTGCACAACGCGCAATTGCTCAAACTGCATTTGTGCAAGAAGACAAAGGCAATGTACAACATGCAGAGTAGGCCCAGCGTGTCACAACAGAGGTGAAACACCTGGAGAAAGGATAGAGACAGACAGGATAATTGCTGAAGAGTCACATCACGAACGAGCTGTCAGTATTAATGAAATAGAGCAAGTGGCGACTCAAGAAGGGGTAGAAAATTCTCCACGACGATTTTGGCAAATTATGTCCATGGAGGAAGCAACAACAACAACAGACCAAATATACAATAAAATAATATCATTCTCCCCAAACAACATATTTGAAATACCAAAGTGCAATACAACCAAAGAACTAATCAGAGAGATACAATTCCTAATAACTGAGTATACAAACAGCACGTTCCTACAGCCAATCGCCCTAAAAATCGCTGCAATACTTCCCCACTTAATATGCCAGAAAACACACAGGAAATCAAAAACATCAGACAACGTAAAAGCCATGAGGAGAAGGATGGAAAAATGGAAAACAGGAAACATACACGGACTCCTTAAGGAGGCAGAGGCCCTACAAAACAAGATTAAAAAGATAAGTGCAAAGAAAAAGGAACTGGATAACTGTAGGAAATTTGCTAACTTAATGCAGCAAGGGAAAGTGACGAAAGCAGTAAGGATCCTAACATCTGAAGACAACGCAGGAACCCTACCTCTAGACGACAACACACGTCGACTACTAAATGAAAAGCACCCACCCGCCCAAGAGGCACCCCCTGAAACACTGTTTCGTGGAGAATATCACCCTCCACCCCCGGAAATATTTGAAAGTATTACCGGGGAAAAGATAAGGAAATTTGCGCTCCACACAAACGGCGCCGCTGGACCCTCAGGGCTGGATGCAGAAGGATGGAAGAGCATTCTGAGCACCAGCAAATTTGGAAATGCTGCAAATGATTTATGTAAGGCCATTGCAGCATTGGCAAGAAAACTCGCCACGGAGAATTGCCAAAACCTCGATGCCCTAACGGCCTGCCGATTAATAGCATTAGACAAGAAGCCAGGATGCCGTCCCATTGGTATAGGAGAAGTCCTGCGCAGAATAATCGGCAAAGCCATAATGGATGTGGTGGTAGACGACGTCAAGACAGCAGTTGGAAATCTCCAGGTGTGTGTGGGTCAGCAAGCAGGATGTGAGGCGGCCATACATGCAGTACGAAAGATCTATGAAGATCCTAATTGTGAAGCAGTACTGATGGTGGACGCAGCAAATGCTTTCAATAATATAAACAGGAAAGCCACAATACACAATATAGAAATAAAATGTCCAAGCATTGCTCAATATATAAAAAACACATACAGTCAACCAGCAAAGCTCCACATATATGACAAACAGACAAACACATGTGAAACGATCGCGTCAAACGAGGGTACAACCCAGGGCGACCCAATCGCTATGGCAATGTACGCTCTTGGTCTCCTTAAGCTACAGGATCACATTAACTTCAGTGATACAAACATCAAGCAGGTGGCTTATGCTGACGACCTAACAGGTGCTGGAAAGATTACACACTTACAAAAATGGTGGGAAATAATAGAAAGATACGGTCCTCCTCTTGGGTATTACCCAAATGCTGTTAAATCTGTTCTTACTGTAAAACACGAACATCTGGACCATGCCAAAGAAATTTTCAAGAATAGCCAAATCATTATAACATCTGGAGGGGAAAAACACCTAGGAGCAATTCTTGGAACAAATTCAGCAAAAGCAGAATACGTTAAGAAACAAGTTTACAAATGGATACATGAACTGAAGTTACTAGCACAGTTTGCAGAAGTAGAGCCCCACAGTGCTTACACAGCATTCACATTTGGCATGAAACACAAATGGAGCTTTCTGATGCGGACTGTGCCAGGAACTGAACAATTATTTGAACCCTTAGAAGAAATAATAAGAAAAGAATTGATACCAGCTCTATCAGGAGGACGAAACCCCACGGCAATAGAGAGAGCAATCCTGGCACTTCCACCAAGACTCGGGGGACTCGGGATAACTGACCCATGCAGGATTGCTAACACGGAACACCAAAACTCCATCAAGCTAACAACCAGCCTAACCCAATATATCATAGCACAGGACAGCCTCACTCAACCAGACCAAAGCGAACAAAAAAGAACAAGAAATGAAATTTCAATAGCAAGGGAAACACAGCAAAAGCATGATCTACAAGAGATACTGCCACAACTCTCAGAAGAAATGAAAAAAAGACTTGAAATGGCAAGAGAAGTCGGAGCATCTAACTGGCTGACAACTCTCCCAATAAGATCAAAGGGGTTTAGCCTGAACAAACAGGAGTTTGTTGACGCTATATCCCTCAGATATGGATGGGCAATTGATGGGCTCCAACAACAATGCACCTGTGGCTCATCCTTTGACCCAAACCACGCAATGACCTGCAAGACGGGTGGCTTCGTCTGCATGCGTCATGACGAAGTGAGGGACGTGACAGCCCAAATGCTGGGCGAGGTCAGCCGAGATGTCAGGGTCGAGCCATCCCTCATTCCCACGGCGGGGCGGAACTTCTCGCTCCAATCAACAAACACCGCCGATGATGCCCGCCTGGACGTGAGTGCCAATGGATTCTGGGTACGGGGGCAGCGAGCCTTCTTTGACATCAGGATCTTCAACCCGATGGCAGCAAGCAACCGCACCCAAGAACTAAAATCGGCCCACGCCAAACATGAGAAGGAGAAGATGAGGGAATACGGCGAACGAATACGAGAGGTGGAGCAAGGAACTTTTACCCCCCTCGTATTCACCACCACCGGAGGCATGGCACCGAAAGCCATCACCTTCTATTCGTACCTCGCACAGCAGCTTGCAGAAAGAAGGCAACAACCAAAAAGCTGCGTCGTGGCATGGATGAGGTGCCGACTGGCCTTCTCGCTGCTCCGCTCATCGTTACTCTGCCTCAGGGGGACAAGGACCAAACCAAACCAATACACTAATATTAAGGATCTAGATATAGAAGAAACAGTAGTAAATAGTAGAATAAATAGAAATATGTAATGTATACATTTGTAATATCCTTGTATATAAAACCTATGTATTTTTTATTGAATAAAAATAAAAAAAAATTAAAAGACGGATGCCGACCACAGCCATTGGCGAGAAAGGGGCCAATGGACTGTTTTGTGAAATAGTAAGTTATACATTTCACAACACAGCTTCCTAGCTGATTTCTTAATAAAATAATGGAATGGAGGTCGGATTATAAAAAAAAGGGATGCTGGTATTGGGTGTGAGCGGTCGCGCATGCTAGGGTGACAATATGAGCCCCCGGCAGCGGGCCACTATGAATACCACCCAGGAGAGAGACCTTACGCATCAGGAAGTCACCCGTTGGCAATGGGTTAACACAACTAAAGGCAAAACACCCAAGAACAAAAACTCATACGAAAAATGGAAACCAACAAGAAACAATAGAACACAGACCACTCCAATATCCAAGATTCAACTCAACTCTCA